TTGGGGTGTCGTGGGGTTGCTACTAACAATGAGTACAAGAAAGAAGGAAATGTTCTGAAATTGATTGTGGTAATGATTGTACCACTCTTCTTGATATGATTGAACTATTGAATTGTATGATGTGTAGATTATGTGCCAATAAAACTATTTATTTAAAAGAAAAAAAAAGCAAGAGGGAAGCAGTTTGCAGTCCCTTTCTCCAGAGAGGCTGACTGGCGAGCAGAGCTCCTACCGATACCAAAATTATGATATTGAAACTAAGTCCATTGATTATAGTGATAAGGAATTTTAAAATATATGTTGATAAATCACATTTAGAGTTTTATGGGGATTGATTTTAGGTGACTTCAATGTATCTGATACAAAATTCTTCCATTTTTTAATATATTGTGATTGTTGATCAGTTGAACTTTGCTTGGCGCTGTCATACAGTCTGTAATTGTGCTGTTGAAATGCCCATGGGCGTTACCCATCTATTCCATATGGGAGTCAGAAGCTGCTTGACAATGGAATTCCATACAACTCCGCCATACATAAAATCCCACCGACCAAAGCATGCTATCGGTAACTAATTCTCCTCACAGCATAAGTAAAACGGCAAACGTTTTCTTACTTAACTACTCATTAGACATTGAATTAAAGTTTGATTGTGGCACTCTGAGGCAAGCGTGGAACTACTAACCACAGGGTTGGCACTTTAAACCCACCAGCCACTCCACAGGAGAAACAAGAAGAGGTTGTCTGTCCCCCTAGAGATTTGCAGTCTTGGGAACCCTCTCTAGGGTTACTGTGAGCTGAAGCAGACTTGATGGAGTTCTGACTTATAGCAATCCTGTGGGACAGGGTAGAACCGCCCCTCTGGGTTTACGAGGCTGTAACTCTATACCAGGAATAGAGAGCCTTATCTTTCTCCCTCGGAGCAGTTGGTAGTTTTGAACTACTGACCTGCCGATAGCAGCCTAACACAGAACCTGCTACCAGGGCTTCTTGGGGTTTGCACTAGGTGTTCTATATTGGATAACGGGTGCATTGGTAAAAAGATACTCGTTTTATCTTTTTT